TACTAATCCGTTGTAACAATTAAACTCTAATTGACATAAATAGTATATCTTAAATTCTGAATATTGTTTTTGAAATCTATAGATCTATTTATAACCTATAAATAGAATCTCTGTTGAGATAAGAATTCGAAATAATATAACCTGAACATATCGAAGACGAATTTCATTAATCATTTTTTTCATCAATATAGATATAACAGGAAATTTAATAATAATAAATCATGAAATCCATTATATAAGAGTATTTTCTTTTATGTTTGAAAGAATTTGAGCTATTTTATAGGATTAAATATATAATTTCCTTTTAGCAACTTTAACTATAAGAATTGACTTAGGAACTTCAAAATACTCTACAGCCTTTCTAATTGATTTAAATTCCTTCAATTGAAATACAATAATAATATTCTATATCTTCTCTTCAATTTGAGAAAATATAAAAGGTAATTCAATATATATAGCAAAATTTATTGGGGTTTGAAGTTAATGATGGACTAAATGTGACCCGGTTCCTTATATAACCCGGTTCACTATAAGTTACGTTATTTAATTTCTTGACAGCATTTATAAGAGCAATCAAGTATTGATGAATATTCCCAGAGCATCAAGAAAAGATAAGGAAGTTCATTTCACGCAACATATATTCAAAACAAACACGCAAGCATTGAATCGCAAGTCATAAATGGGCTAAATTCAAGACTACTACAACTCTTAATCATACACAAGGGCTTCCTGCTTCTCTGCTCTGTTCTGCTCTGCGTAAGTATCGCCGCTATCTCGAAATAACACTATCATCAGAAATAGTAATATACTATTATAATCAATACTTTCGCTTTTTTGATCCATAATCCATAGTCCGTTCTCCATTGTTCATTATTGATCACTTAGCAAACTTCGAAGTTTCAGCTCCACCTGCACCGGCTCCCTTTGATGTACGAGGTTTAACAGTTGAAGGATTTGCAAAAGCCTTCTTTTCCTTTTCTTGCAACAAAAGGCGTTCAAGCTCCTCTTGAATCTCTGCAGCATTCTTCACGGCGGCTGGGGGAGGTGAAGGTGGATTTGGACACACTGTACCCGTCAATGGATATTTATTGAAGAATCGAGTAAGAAGTGGCCCTGCTAGACGAGGGTCCATCGCTTTGGCTACTCTTCCTTCATCGTCTTCACTTGGAGGTGGAGCCAGGGTCGTCTTGACTGGGACCTTGCGACCGACATGTGCCTTAAATGGAATTGGAAGACCTGGTGGAGGCAAGAGTCTCCTCTCTTGAGTCTTGATCCAAACCGGTTCTGTTGGCATTAGGGGCTTCGGGTAAAACATTGGTAACATTTCGTTTGAGGTTGGTGTGATTTCCTCCTGTAACGAGAGACCTCGCCGCTCATGGTGGGTGCGGGTGATATGAGCTCTCGCAGAACTAAAGTCTTTGAAACATGCCGCCTTGGGGTTAAGATTATTATTAGAGCTAGATTCTTTTTCTTTTCTTGGGCTACATTCAATAGGGTAGGTAGTCTTGAGATCCTCGTTGGGCTTGGCATAATCTTCATCATCAAGTCTTTTCAGAGCCTTCAATAGCCTGAGAAGAACTTTACGATCTCCCTTTTCCCATGTCGCCAGAGATTTGATGCAGTCTTCAAGTAAATCTGCCTTTTTGTTTCCATCTAGGCTTGTAATGCAATCATCGTCCAACGCCTGTTGCACTGTAACGTAAGCTTGCTTCTTGGGACTAACAGCGTATGTGTCGATAGTCTCAATCGGATCAATGGGAGATTCGCCCTCGGTGGTTTCTGTCAAAAGTGCCGATACCTTGGGTGTTTCCTCACTTTTGTTGGCTTTGTCTTTTCCATCTCTGATGAGAGGCTGTGTCATTTCTGGTTCAGAAGCACCACCCGAGCGATTTTTGACAGGGTATCTGAGAGGTTTGGGCGTTGTCTCTTCATGATTGCTGAGAGAATGAATAGGGTATCTCTTGGCAGAAGATCTGGGGCTTTCGTCAGAAGACTCTACAAAGTAGCCAACGATTCTTTTGGTAGGAGTGTAGTCATCTTTGGTCAAGAATTTTGATCCCGCTTCGACCTTGTACGACTGTGGACTATCTCTTCTCTTGGGTTCCTTGATCACCGAATCGACACCTCTGTAGGTCTGAATTTGTAGAGAACTTGACTGTGGAACAACTACTTTGTAAGTTGGAATTCCTGTATTTCTTTGGACTTTTGAAGGTGACGTGCTGATTGAAAAGGGTGGTCTTGAGAGCTCTCTGCCAATTTTGACTTCTTCAATGGGTTGCGGTTGACTGAAAAGATACTGTGGTCTGTGATGATGAAATTGTGTTTGCTGCTTCAAAGTTCTTCCGCACGAGACAATCGAAGGATCAACTGTCATTGGCCTGTTGACATATTCCGGATCTGGACAATCCCGGAGGAGACCAGAACGAGCAAGCTGCTCTCGAATACTAGCCTCAAGACTTCTATCAATTTGAGGATAAATCGAAGTATCAGATGCCACACTAACGCCACGTGAGCTTAATCCAAAAGCATCTCGAGGATAGTGAGAATGCTGAGTATAGTGTGTTTGGCGTTCAAACTTTTCACGTTGTGCACTTGGTCTAAGAGCTTGCTGCATCATAGTGCGTAAAGCAACTCGTGGGGACACTCTTCCAGTGTGCTCATCCCGACGCTCCTCGAGAACGGGAGTACATCCAGCATACAGTTCCTCGCCTCCTCCAGAACCTCGGCCGTTGTGGGCAGTCATGTTACGATGATGATTACTTGCATCAAGTGTCTGTGATGCTGCATGACTAGGAACCATATTGATGTTTAGCGGGCCATTATATGTCATTGGTAGTTGAGATTGAAAAGTGGCATATGGCAAAGAGTTAGAGACCATATTCTGATAATGACCATGATAAGGTTGTGGAAGATAGGTTATTTGCAGTGGTAAGTTTGCTGCATTGTCGCCATTTGAAAATGGAGGCTCCTGTCTTTGTGGCCTCAACACTAACCTTGGGGGATCGGTCCCTCTAGCTTGGTTATTCCTAAGTACCAGCCGTGGCTTTCTTTGCTCATAATGAACCATTATTCTTGTTATCTATCTCCCTGATCAAAGTAGGCGCCTGGAGTGAGTATTCTTCTAGTAGCGAGTCTGTCGATTCCAAATCAACGCCGTTGTAATTCTTATGTAACAGTGCCACCCACAGTTTTATCCAGGCGTATTGCAGAAGAGTCAATTTGGACTTATGCTCTGAACAAGGGCTTGCCTCGTCTTGATAGAATCAGCCTCTTAATCTCGGAAGAAAATGGGAAGTGTCAAGGTACTCACCAGTACTTCCTGAATTATCAATCCCAGATGCGTTTGAATAGTCGTAGGTGGATCCTTCTATAGAAGAGTCACCGCCAAAAACCCAACGATTTGTGTCGAGTTTAGTTTCTAGCTCAAGCGTCAAACGTTCCAGAATAGCCTTCTGGTCCTTGTGAAGTTGGAAAGTCCCCCGAGCCGGTTTTGAAGATTTCGAGCTTCATGTGGAAGATAAAGGAGTTAAGGTGAAAGAGTGCGATCCAGACACAGATTTGATATTAGAATGAGCAGCGATATCCTTGAGGAATGCTTCTCTTGAATATTTTGAAAAATGCACGATGCCTGGCAACAGCTCTTCTTTGTGTAGAGTGAGAGGATGAGAAGTGTTGAAAACGTGGTATGCCAAATCTGAAGGCTTGACACCGATCTTCATGGAAAAGCAAGCCTCAAGATATATGAAGGATTGGGACGAGAAAGATTCTGTGTGACAGAGAGCAGGGGGTAGCTTATGTTTAATGTAGAGAAGCAAGAATTGTTTGAGTGTGTGTCCGGTGGTCGTGGTAGGTTGGGAGAGCAAAATTTGTAGCGATGTTGCTGTGTGCTTGATTGTTGAATGAGAATTGGAAGAGGATGACAAGAAGAGGGCTTTATTTTAGATGAACATGTCAATATAGCATGGAAGGAGTAGCCGTAGTTCATTCTAATGTGACAAGGGAAGGTGTGAAGTTGTCGGCGTTATTCGCTGAACTTGGAAGGAAAGAACAAGAGAAAATATGTGGCCTACTATGTACTTACAGACGCCGGTATGTTTGGAGGTTATTAGACAAAATAGTGTATTCATGAAATCCAATTTTTCGAATAGATCAGGTCTCCCCACGTATCTAAATCACTGAACCTTTGAAGTCTAGCCAGGCCAATCTGTCATTGGAAATAGTGAAGTTATAGAGAAGAGAACATATATGTTTAAAAATCCTCGTCTAGACCTCAGCGCTCAAAGTATCTTGCGCACATCTCTTGGGTCCTGAGACCTCTTTTTCGACAGCATATCGAGGACCATTTATCACGGTCCAATTGTATTTTAATTGCGTGGTCAGCTTGGGAAAAAGCAGATCACAATTATGGTATGACCATAATTAGAAGGTTGGATTTGGAAATTGGCCCTCCGACGATTCCAGGAGACAACACGACTTTGACGTTCTCCAGAAATGAGAATTAGGTCTTTCACCTTATCTACCGAGGTACCTACCAAGTCACATCCTATTTACCGCGAGATAAGAAGGTGTATTTACTCGACTCGGTGTTCTTCCTTCCAATGTGTTGTAGGAATTATGATAGCAAAGAGATCAAGAATAAATTGTCGTCAAGTTTTCAATATCATCGGGAGGAGAGATAGAAGTGGCTTGAGTGCGCTACCTAAAGTGGCTCAGTGGCTGAAGGTAATTTATTTCTAAGGTTAATTTCCAAGACTACTTATTATTAGGAAATCAAGTGAGTGATTACGTCCACATTTCTATTCCACGCCGCAAAGTTACTAAAATAACATCGAAGAATGTTCAGTCCTTCGATATTATCGACTCTTATCATTACTCTCCAGAATGTTATGAACTTCTACTAACTATAAACCCAATTGCATATCAACATCTTATGGTCCATCGCGGACACGCTGCGTGTGCAGTAAACACCTACAACAACAACAACGATATCAGGCGACAACATGGCAAGTATAACTTTACGCAAGAGATTAGCACTTCTATTTACTATTTCGATCTTCACCATCGCTCTGATATATCATTGGAGACTTCAGTATTCACCTCAAATCTCAGAGGAAAGGTTGCGTCCAAAGCCCATACTCCCGGAAAAGCCTGGTCTTATCAAGGAGCCATCTGGTCATGATGATACAAAGCTTCAACACTCAACAGCCTCCATTGGTACAAGCACATCCATTGATACCATGACACAGACATCTGATATTCCAACTCCTTCTAGCATCTCATCAAGCCCGAATGTTACGATTTCTCAGGGAACATATATCGGAAAAGAAACATCAAAATATCCACAAGTCCTCGAAGAGTTTCTTGGAATTCCTTATGCATTACCACCAACAGAAGATCTCAGGTTTCGACCTCCTGTCCCAGTGAACACATCAACAGCAATTTTTGACGCCACAAAACCCGCATTGAGATGTATGTCTGGTCCAGATAATCAACCTCAAAGTGAAGATTGTCTTCATCTGAATATTCATCGGTCCAAGAGCACCACGAATTCATCAAGCGAAAAATTGCCGGTTTTGGTGCATGTTCATGGAGGAGCTTTCAATTTTGGGTATGCGAATGATAGGGGAATAGCATCTCTGGTGGGCTGGTCTAAACAACCTTTGATTGCAGTCACATTTGAGTATAGAGTAGGAGCTCTGGGATTCTTGCCATCGAGGCTAATGGCTGAAGAGAATGCGTTGAATTTGGGCTTGAAAGACCAGAAGTTGTTGTTGGAATGGGTACAGAAACATATTTCAAGCTTTGGCGGTGATCCAGAAAACGTTACCTTGATGGGTCCCTCAGCTGGAGCTCATTCTGTGAGTTTTATTTTCAATTCATGACAATCGTGACTAGCTCCTTCCTCATAACTAATCTCAAGCGACACTCGTCTGCTTACTCCAATAGTTTGGAGTGCAACCTGATAATGACGCTTTCTGAATTCCTCAAACCGCTCGAGGCGTTTAATCCTTTTGCAATATTGATCTGTTTGGATAATATTTGTAGTCAAATCCTAACCAAATTTATGCAACTTTTCACGCCTTAGAAGTTCTGTAGTTCAGGATAATGGAAATACTGCCTATGCTGAAGACTTAAAGATACGGTCAATACATCATTGTAGATTCTAATAGCAATTCAGATCGGTCATCATATAATGAACAATAATGGCTCCCCTCCCCTCTTTGCTAAAGCAATCATTGAATCTGGGGGACCAACAGCTCGAGCTGTCTATCCTTACGATAACCCTCTCCATGAGATTCAGTTCTCAGAATTCCTAGACAAACTTGAGCTTTCTAGCACTCCGCGTGCCGAAATTCTTTCGAGACTCCGCAGTCTTCCTGTCTCATCCATCAAAGCGGCCTCGGAGCAAATCTTTGAAGCTTACAATCCCTCTCTTCGTTGGGCCTTCCAACCATGCATTGATGAACCTGGCCAAGATAGTATTATTCCAATACCTCCAATTGAGGCCTTTTTAAACAACACATACCGTCACATTCCCATTCTTACTGGTTACAATACCAATGAGGGGTCTATTTTTGTTCCTAAAACCGTTGATAAAGCAGGTTCCTTCCTCGACTTCTTCCATGTTCTCCTACCCAATCTTCCTATGGAAGATCTCTCAATCATTGACTCCCTTTACCCAAATCCTGAATATAATCCAGACTCTCCATACGCCTTCAACAACACAGCTCTTGAAGTGGGAAATCAATATCGACGCCTCGATAAAGCATATGGAGATTATGCGTACATAAGTCCTGTGCGCCAAACTGCCTATTTTGCTTCTGGGGAACATCCCTATGAGCAGCCCTCTTCAAATTCAAGTTTGCTTAAATCAGCACCAGTCTATCTTTACGAATACGCAGTTAACAGTAGTGTGCTTCTTGGGGCCTCTCACGGTTCTCAATACCCATTTCCTGCATATGCATCCCAGGTGATTGATAAATCCACAACGACCAAAGAGATCGCAGGCTTGATGCATGCTTATTGGACATCCTTCATAATATCTCCGACGGGAAATCCGAATGCAATTCCGGGTAGATATCCGACTCGAATGGTGTGGCCAGAATACAAGGGTGGGGAAGGGAAACGACAAAAAATGATTTTCGGGAGAGGAAACGATGAGATTGCGGGAGGTAAGGAGAAGGGTGTGGTGGTAGAGATTGAAGAGGATAGGAAGGATAGAGTGGAGAAGGAAGCTTGTGAATTTTGGTGGAAGAGGGTGAAGTTGTGGGAAAGATGATTTTAGAAGGGGATGGTAGTGAAAAGTGTATGATGTAAAAAGATGGATCATCATCGTATTGTTGAGTACATGAAAATTGGGATGCATGGAGCAAACTCACTCTTAATCTAAGAAGTTTCATCTGTAGGACTACAAATGTTTACACATAGCGTGTTACCTGGTAGCATAATATGTTGCATTATTTACTTTAAAAAAAAGGGATCATTATTCCGTATTTAACTGCTCTACTCCCATTCGATACCCGAAAAGAAGACCTTGAATATTTGCATCAAAAGAAATTGGTCGCTGCTTTGATTCCTCTCCTGTTCTTCATACTAGCATCCCAGTGAACTGTTGGAAATGACTTAGATAATTCCAATCATTCAAAGCATTTTGGCTTCCAAATTATGATATATCTACCCCTATCTGCCTGTTATACATATCGGAGAACTTATAAACGTTGAGCTTCTAATTTAGTCAAGCCAGGAAGAATAAATGCTACTAGTTGCAAGTGAATTACATATTATGGATACATGATCGTGGGAAGCTGTTGAGAGGCAATGGACTGGGTTTGTATTATCTTAAGTAGGATTCATAAAATCTAAGATTTATTTTCTAACAATTGGAGTTAGCATGCTTGATAGAAATCAATTATGAGCATTCGGTTTTTGCTTTTTCTTAAGATAGTATCATCTCATGGTGGTTGAAAACTGGAAATTCTATTTATTAGTACTTCTGAGATATTAGATAGATTAGCTCATTCCAGTCAGTGAATGAGAGACTAATATTCATGATTCACATATGTGGATGGGAATACTAGCAACAGACGCTAAGCTCCATCCTGAGACTTATTGTTAGCGTTGTTATCTAGCGTTTCTTAAATAGAAGTGAATCGAAGGGAATATATATTGTAAAGATCACTCTGTTGCACGTCTGCTCGATCTCGAAATCGACGTCATTATGTTGAGAGAACCAATAGAATGGTGAGCGCAAAGGTGGAGGCTTCGGGGGAGCTAGTAGATTGTTGTTAGGGTTAGAAATGTACTTTGGAAGGGATATCAGTGCGAAATAGGATGCAGAGTTATGTTTGGGATTATAGTAGATGGTATGGAGTTGATGGATAAGTGAACTATATAGAGTGATGAGTAGTTACTATTTTATGCACGGCAAGTTGATATGATTTATGTTTTGAAAAGAGGGTATGTGTGGGAATCTGAAAATGCCGGGTGAAACCATTCGATGTATAAGTTCTAGACTGAGAATTATGTAGATGTACGAGTATCAGACAAATACCAATCTCCTTCCAGGTGTATTGGTAGAGCATTTATGTTATTTTTTTGATAGGAGTTAAGCATACACTATAAGGTTATAACAGTAACCGCTTCAGCTGCTTTGAAAGAAAGAGATATTACCACGCGATACTGATATGTCAAGATGACATTAATAACTGAATGCATATTCTATTTAAAAGCCAAAAATCCTTTGAGTTGTTCTTATAATGGAAGATAGCTAGAGGGTCAAGGGAAACTATCAGTATCGTCGCTTTATATATTATATACATGTCAAAATGTATTAGATATCTGCCAAAAGCATAAAATGATAGTCGAGAAATGAGAAAGTCGTAGTCCAGCCTCCAGAATCCATCTTCCAGCATGTCTCTTAAAAGAATACCGGACACCTTCCGAGACAGTGTAACATGCATTCTAACACTTCCTTTAAATTTTCGACGAAAATGTTGATAAACATGCACTGGGATTTATACCAACTTCACTTCACGTATATAAAAGGCCTTTACGACCAGTATATGGCCTCAAGCCAGCCGACTGGTTTGCTTATGTTCACCGACATATACGTGGCAAGGTGATATTCGCGACCAAATGGTCTCCTTCTAAATCCATGTCCTGCCCAAAGAGTCCGGCGGCATTGTGCAGTACAAGTATTGCCTGCCTGTGTGAGCATCCTCAGAGACCTTGAGGGCAATGAAAGAATCATTTATGATATGGTTTGGGATATATTAAATGTCTTCCCTATTTGCCATAAGAATAGTAAACAGGCATGATGAAGTTGCTTACTTGCAAGAATCTACTAATGCCAACATACCTCTTCGTGAAATGTATGATATCGAGAACTAAATATGCATACTTTCATTCTCCACATATTATCAGAAAAGATGATGATATACATGTACTAGAATCTACCAGCCTCAAAACACGCAATCTAAATTCCTCTTGGCCAGTTCAACGGATTTAGGCCAGCAGGCCGACCGAGCAGGTCAAAAAATGTTCATAGACATCCAAGATATTATTTAAATACTTCCCAAGCCAAGGTTTACTTCACACTCATACAATATTCTCAAGGTCTTCATCTCCTCTCAACTATTAGCCACACAATTCAATCTCACGAGTAAAGTACACACCTTGAAAGAGAGCGAAATCGCACAGCATAAAACACAGACCCAATATTCTGGAAATATCCATTCCATCACAACACTATCCAATTCCGCGCCCAAATATGAAAAAGTCATCTCACCATTCCCATCACAGCACAGATCGTACACCTAAAGCTCATAGAGTCGATACCAACTCATCTCATGGAGATGGTCATATATCAGATTCGTCTACTACAACACTTTTGGGTGCCGGGAGCAAGAAGCAGAATCTGAGTGGAAGACATAAGGAAAAGTATTTGCCTACGAGAGGGTCAGAAAACCGGAAGCAAGAGACTAGTAGTTCTAGAAGGCAAGAGGAGAAACCCCCAACCTCCAATCATCCCTACCGTCAAATTATTACCACCGACCAAAAAGCCCATGAAGAAAAACAAAAGCCCTCCAAAAGCACAAGATGTCCCACCGATCCTGTTGCGCGAGTCCGGTACAAGTACTACCAGATTGAAATAGAAAGGAAACTAGGGAAAGCCAAGAGAGAATTGCAGTTAGAAGAAAGATACGATTGGAGGGCCGCCGATTCATGTGTACCCTATATTCGATATATCCGGGACCTTGAAGAGCTGGCTCAGGAGATCAAGAATATCAAGGAACAGCGTTTGGCACCAGGGAAGGCCAAGAAAGCGTTAGACGAGCTTTTGGAGATCAGAGGTCATCTGCTTGAATAGACCGACTAGTCCCTGGAAAGCAGATGTCCCCGGCCAAGAAACATCTATGTACTTTGAGTGATCTTGAGATTATTATGATGATCTGGATACAGCCATGTTTTTAGGATCTTACTGAATCCAAATACATGTTTTGTTTTAAGAACATATCAAAATTAATCATCAAATATCAAAAACACAAGATTTTAGATACGGATTTCTTGTTTTAATACATTCCTTATCAGAAGCACTAGCAAAGACATCTGCTTTTCGAGGATACATTCCATCTCCGATCAGAAACTAGTCGACCGGTTGGAGGAGCCATCTTTTTCAACTTTAGCTCTCTTGAGGAACCCTTGATGAACTGATGGTGAGAAAATAGACTTGGCGGATACGATGTGGGTGCACTTGCACAGTTGGCGGCTGTCGTTGTGGCTTGGGGCGGAGGCTTAAGGCAGGCGTCAGGTTTGAGGTTTTGTATGCATTTGTAAAGTTTTGCTGTTAGAGGCGTATTGACTTGGTTGCATTTTGTCCTGCTGTCCTCATGATTTGTTTTCGCAATGTTTGTCTGAATGAAAAGGCCTGTGAATCCGTCGCGGGGTACTTTGATACCTTGATCTTATACCTTAATCGAAACTCATGGGATTTTCCATTTTTCTTTCTACACGATACGGTTTTTGAATCATTCAACTTGACTCTGGTGTTCACAGCTTTCTGAAAGATTGAAGTCCTAAAAGAATAATCACTTCCATTCCCTAATCTGTATGGTATTACATGCATTTCCATATCCTCCCAAGTCATCTGCAATGTACTGGTTCGCCTGATGTCTAAATACAGAATCAAATAGGAGAAGAAGAAGAAGAAGAAGAAGAAGAAGAAGAAGAAAAATGAAGACCGATGTTGTATCATTTGCCTCCATGTCTTCAAATTGGCAAAAACAAACTGCACCAAAAACTCCTGATAATGCCGCCACACGAATCTAAAGACTTTGAATGGGTATTTGACGTCTAATGATGATCAATACATGGACTGTTCGAATATCGGTCGCTAGTTAAATATGTAGAGAGATACGATGATTGTGGTTGGTGGGAATCGTGAGCCAAGCGGAAAAGTGTATATTCTCCCGACGAGTCGCATTCTTCCAGAAGGTATGCCTTATTAACGCCATTTGTAACTCCATCGGCATCGTGCAAAAAGATCCGCCTTCTATGTCCAGATTTCAGTATCCATTTCCTTTCGCTTTATATCGTATTTTATCTCCTGTCTCGTCGCACATTACCATCTCTCTCCTACCAAATCCATCTCAGGAGATGTATCTGCTGCTTTCATCATGTCCGACTCCAATCGCTCTGCCGCTACATCAGAATTCTACTCGACTGTCACATCCCTCTAATGACTTTTCCCAAACATTGCGGTAGGCAAAGCTCTCTTGCTCTTAACTCCCCCCACGGTTCCTTGAATAGTTCCTAATCCCACACTCCCGACCCGAGGAGTAGCTCCGATCGCCCAAGTTCCTAAGGCTGTTGTTGCAAAGGTCTGCGTGTATACTGGTATGTATGAGACAGTCGTGACGCTACCCACTGTGTAAAGTGATGGAGCCGAAATAGTCGTGGTTGCCATCTGAGTGGCTGCTGATGTAGCAACCGCACCACCTAAGCCTGCCTGTGCATATGTGAAGGCTGGAAGAAAGGCGAGGAGGGATAAAGTGTACGTCGAGGAAAGATGCATTGTTGTGATGATGGTGGTCTTGAGATGCAATGAGGTCCGGTAAATCGAAGACAAATTGTTTTCCTATGTCGGAAAGCCGGTAATGAATCTCAGTTCAAATCTTATCGGTAGTGTGACGTATCGCAGTATCGAAGTTTTCAGATATCTGCTGGTTTGTTTTCGCTATGGTTATCGTAATCGATCAATAATTTCGTGTCCGTTGGGTTAGGAAGTTCGTAATCTCTTTGTAAATTGTTATGTCGCAAAATGGTATGAATCTCTAAACTTACTATTCTTGGAAGTAACTAACATGAAAGGGGCCAAAAGTGGATACGTAGCCACTTTTGTGCATTTGCCAACCTTATCCCGTCTTAGCCAATGTGGCTTGATATATTGTGGCTCATGACAGTGGCGTTTATTACAGAATCCCTTTTGCGACTATTAACAAGATGAAAGTTTATTTCAAATCATATCAATATCATCTTGATTTTGAACTTTCAAAAAATCAATCTGACTTGACAATGTATGATGCATTGAAGTTTCAATAGTATCAAAGGATAAAATGCTAGTGATATTAGATTTTGAAAATAACTCAGGGACGTTTTTTCGGCTCAAGGAGCTGCTGTCGATATTAGAATGTTAATTATGTCCCTGAGATAACCTTTCATATATGGAGAAACCCAACTCTGAGGGCAATTTCACTGTTAGTCTTCAGTCAAATTATCGAAAAATCTTGTTGGGTACTGACCACATGACAAGCATCAAGTGACAAAGGAAGTCGGCTTGCGACTTTCGACTATGGTTTATACATTCTAGCTATATGATAGAGACATTCTTACTTGTATCCAGAGTGAATATCACATTGCATACCACTCCTTCTTAACCGCCAATCAAGAATAAAGCATTTGACAAAATGCAATTCGGTCTCGAGGAGAATGGCGGTGCCAAGATCAATAGTTGCACTGAGGGCCAGGTGACATGAACTTTCGACCAATTACGAGGAGCAAGATTCCCATACGCACAGCTGCTCTAGATTTTCTCCCGTATCAATGGGGGTTTGCCCTAGAGACGTTTAGACCCTGAACTCTTCACCAACTTTCAACTGACGTCAAGGCTTTTGGTGTCTGTCACAGCCCTCAAGCGAAGTTTTCACTGCATACAAACCCTTCATGGTAAGGATCGTACAGAACCTCACGGTTCAGTACATCCGAGAAGATCCTTATCGTCATCTAAGATTATTCTGTATCTGATAACGTCGAAAAGTGTTGATAGTAAAAGTGTTGTTGTGGAGGTTCGTTATGTGTGTATGTATCATTGTTTGTTCGAGGCTTCCAATCCCCAAGTGAGATCAAGGACGCCAGGAGAGGAAGGTGTCCAAGTTTCTAATAAGCGATGCCTAACTTGACTAATAGTCATACAGGCTGAGTGCTTCAGTAGGGGTTATATGATTGCTATTGCTCGTCGTGTTGATCTCTCACGCGGGTAATCCAGCCTTCCTCTTCAGTGCCGAAAGGTTCCCCAGCCTTTGATCTCTTGCTCCCAATCACTTCAATTCTAGCTGAAAGTCGAATGCAAATACGATGCAAACAGAACAAAAAACAATAGAATGAATAAAAGAGTAAACAATAAAGCTTGAACTAGCCTATTAATCTAGGTTATCTTCGGCTGGTGGGAAGCGAGGGCAAATATTTGACAAATAATTGTGAGATTTAGTCAAAAACTTAGCTTTGCGGCCCCTTTAGTAGTGTCTACGAGTCACGGTATAGCTTTGAAAGGTGTCCTTTCTGAAAAGGTCATAACAGTCTTTCCAGCTTTGCAAAAGTGCAAGCGGAAGGGGGGATTTCCATTTTCGCAGGAGCAAAGCATACGAGCATTTTCTAGGCTGCCTCGCTGCTCAGCGAGCGCCCGATGAGCAGACAATATATGACGTAGGATGATCTGCAGCGAGGCCGCCGATATGGAAATTATAAAGCGCTACACGTCCTAGATATATCAAAAGCCATAATGTTCATTTGAGCCCCTCTACCCCTCTTTGATTCATATCGTATATACCCCGCCTAGCCTTGTAAACTATTGGAATTTGCATGTGTCTCATCATTCCGAGTTTGCCGTCTTCGTACCATGTGCATTATGCATGGAGCAAATTGCATAGCCACGATAACGAGTCTGCCTCGTCTTGCCCTATAGGAGAGATATGTGACTAGACATGTTGAATCATAGATTGAGCTTAGCGCTGCTTGCGCCTACCCCCCGAAAGCGGGGTGGATACCTCAATCCTTGCAGACACCTGCCAGAAAGGGGATTTAGTGTCGAGCTAGTTTACCATTCTGTGGTACGTGCTAGTTTATTCGAGTTACCCGTCAGATAGGCGCCAGGTGGGGTAAACGTCAGATGTGATGGGTAGGTAAAGCTACGAATGCTCGACATTGCTTTTCCCGTCTGTGGTTTTGCTGTAGCTCCCACTGGACTATACATTTTGTGGCTTCGATATATCCAACTAGGGAACCTAGATTTTTATTGGAAAGGTGACATTCTGGTGTTTTCTTTTGCTATGGAATATAAATTACATTTCCTGAACCTAGGGCACAATAGACGCCGTTTCAAGAGGCGAGGAATGTATTGATCTCGGATGCATTTGGATGCATGTCTTAGATAAGTACGCAGGTAAGTATCAATAAGGGTTGAGCCACTCTCATTCACGAGTCCCGGCGCCTGAAATACGGCAAGAGAGCCGACAAATGTTTGAGACGTGGTGTGACTTGTGTGAAGGGTAATGCAGTGGTGAAAAGTGTTGAAATCTAGTATTTAATCAGGGATAGCGCATGTCTGTCGTTACTCATTGCAGACTGATAAGAAGCGAGATTTTCCTTTTAAACTGGAGTCCTCTAATCAAAACCATTTGAACTTCAACGAAATATTAGCCTCAACCTACTGAGACTAGCTACAGATATGTTCTTCGTAACGGGCCAACAAGTTATGGGTACGAAACTTTTTTTTCATCACTAGCCGTGCCTTAAAACCTACCCTTAGAGCTTACTGGCGCCACTTAGAAGTTCAAGAAAGGAATAACATATGCAGCCCGAGTTCGAAGGTTCCACGGAGAAATTTGGGAATTCACGCTGGCTTGAGGCTGTCCACAACTTCGTTTTCAAAGACCCACCTCCAGCAGTTGACCCAGAAAATCAATGCTTGTATGCTCCGTATATTGCCCGGTTATGGCCTAATCGCCTAGTCTCCCGGTCACGCAGTGCAAGAAACAACATATTAATATGTCCCGACTCCGCACATACTTCACAATCTTCTTTCCTCGGGTACGT